ACAAAAAAAGAAAGAGAATTTAAAGTTGCAACTTTACCTTTGAAAGATTGATATGAACAAAAATTTGGAAAATTAATCTATTTCAGAAAAGAGATTGGAAGGGTTTGGGCTACCCATTCATATGAGGTGAAAATTTAGAAAATAAACATTTTGGTCAAATGTAACTGCATGGGTATTTTAGACATTTTCATGCCTCATTTTAGAGGATTCTAACAAAGGGGGTCTACTTGCTACTATGTTAGAGAGTTGAAGATTGCAATTATCAAACTTCAAGGGAGGTTTCGACAATTTACCAAAAAAACATTATTTTGTCTCATCTACTTAAGAGGATATATTGCATTACTAAAAAAAGGATTAAAGATAGATACACGCTTGGCGATTGTGTCAGCCAAGGAATTACATTCACAACTAATGTGAGAGAAAAGGAAATTAGTCTTCATAAGCAAGGAGATATCATGCCAGATGGCCCCAAGTGGGGAGAAGGATAGAGACTCCGAGGAGGATTTGGCAAGGTTCCTCCCTTCAACTACAACCTTAGAGTCTGATTCAAACATGACCTTCTGAAATCCTCCTTGATCTGCCTCCAGACAGGCAAGTCTTAGCGCTCGGCTTTTAGCCTCCTCAATTGAACCACATAGAAAGGATAGGATGCAACCTTCTATAATTCAACTCGAGTGGTCTCTAACTATATAGGCCACCGAGCCACTACCCGTACTCGCTATAAAACTGGCATCCAAATTAATTTTGATCCATCCTTGAGGGGGGGTGTCAAAACATGTCCATGTGAATGTCATAGTTTGTAGGCCTGGGGGTGAAAGGTTTTTTGGTTTGGTTTGGTAGATCTAGTATCTAACTGTCTTCCCCAGTTATGGACTGAGCTTTCATCACCTATGCGTTAAATAAGACCCTTCTTAAGCTGTTAAGCAAAGAAAGCTCGTAATAGATACTCCTCCAAGACCATGAGGGGCATCAACCTGGGCTAGCTGAAAGTAAAGAACCTCTTGGAAAATAATTTCTTTTAAGGACAGTCCCCCAATAAGAATCTGGATTTTCGAGGAGTTGCCAACCAGCTTTAGCAAGGTGAGCCCAATTAAAGCTCTTTAAATCACGAAAACCTACTCCTCCTTGCCTCTTGGTTGAATAGAGACGACTCTAGCTAATCCAACTTATCTTTTTCTCCTGATTTTTTTTTTTTTGGCCCCAACAAAAACCAAAAAGTTTACCATTTAAAATGGTGCAAAGCTTGTTCGGAATTTTGAAATGGCTCATAACGTAAATTGGAGTGGGGATCGCGGCTGCTTTGATCACCACTTCTCTGCCTGCATGATTCAGCGATGCCCTTTTCTAGCCCTGAAGCTTGGAGTCAGTTCTCTCCATTATATTAGCAAAGGTAGTAGATTTGTTCCTTCCAATACTGCTCGATAGACCTAGGTACTTGGGCGGACCATACCCCTCTTTTAGGGGTGTCCATGAAAAACCAAAAAACCGAAAAATCGAATTGCAAAATGCGGTTAATCGAATTGGTCGGTTTGAAAATTTTGAAAAACCGAAGGACCGGTTCGGTTTTCGGTTAACCTATAAAAAATCGACGGTTAACCGAACCGATCGGTATATATATTTATATGTATATTTTATAAATATTTTTAATATATGTCACATATTTTCTATGTATTTTATATAAATATATATATATATATATTCATTATATATAAATATATACTTATATTATATTTATAATGATCTATTTATAAATATATTATATATTTTTAAAATATTTATAATATATTATATATCATTTATTATTTATAATATAATATTATACATATATTTATATAATATATATTATAAATATAAAAAACCGAAAAACCAAAGAACTGAACCGGTCAATAACCAAAACCAGTAGACCGGTTAACCGGTGGTACCGGTTCAGTTTACAAAAAGGGCCCATGGAGATGATCCTTTTGAACTTGCAAGGGGTGTTCTTGTTGAAGGTAATTTCTTATTTCTAGTAATTCATTAGCTGACCAAAAGCCTTTGCATAGTCCTCTAGGATTTTTCTTGAGAAGAACTGCATTCTGGAAATCCGCCTTGAAGAATAATAGGCAGTCATCAACAAAAAAGAGTTGGGGGACTTCACCTCCCTTTCGAGATAGCATTCTTTATAGAAGTCGAGATAGCCTGAGTTGCCAGAATGAAAATATAAGGAGAAAGAAGGTCTCCATGATGGATCCCTCTAGTAGGCTGAATTCTGCCCCGTTGAGTCCTGTTAATGTTGAAGGTGTACGTGACTGTGTGGTTAGACAGCTCCGAATCAAGTTCCTCAAGTGTTCATTCAATCTCATACACTCAAGAACTTTTAAAACAAAAGACCATTCAAGATGGTCATAGGTTTGTTGAGATCTAATTTAATGGCCATATAAAAGGAGCGGAAGATTTCATGGGCAATTCTAATATTATCAGAGATGAACCTGCTTTTTACAAAAGCACAATGAGACTAATCAACTAATTGAGGCAACAGGAGCTGAAGTCTAACGACCAAACACTTAGCGAGAATCCTGTAGGTGACATTGGTAAGACTAATCAATTGGGCTCTTGCACTTGGGGATAAGGGTAATTCCAGTAAGATTCGCTGAATCATGCACAACTGCATTGGAGAACCAATGCTGAATGGTAGAGATCAGGTCCGGACTGATTGTTTGCCAGTAATTTTGGAAGAAAATCACAAAGAAGCCGTCTGGTCCCAGCGCTTTGAGCCACAAAGGCCCTCATTCATTTCCTCAGAAAACACAGGAGCTATCAGATCAGTTATACCATTATCCAGATTTGGATGGGAGGTATCAAACAAATTTTCAAAGTAATTCAAAATAACATATTCTATTTGAGTAGGAGTATTAACAATCTGACCTTCAAGGTTTCGAATGTAGTATATTATATTCCTGCAATGCCTTACAGTAGTGGATCGATGGAAGAATTTGGTGTTTTTGAGCCATTGTATCCTTGACTTCAACTGAAGGGCCGACCATCACGTTAGTACTATTGATATGCCTTTATGGCTTCTTGGTACCCAGACTGATTTGGTGATTTCCTACGCACCTTTGACTGCCAACTGTCTGTACATGCTTAGATATTGTCCCCTGGGCCAACGAATGAATGCATCCGGCCATTGTTGGGTAATTGCTGCAAGCATCAGTACGAACCCTGGCTCTCCCATCTTCGGTGTATGGATCATCACCTTCCACCTCTTGAAGGAGAAACTAACATTCTTTTTTAAGATGATATTCTATCCGCAACCAAGGTCCCCAAGTTTTGGAGTCAAACTTCCTATCTCTTGGACCTCCTTGATCAGAATCCATATCGTCTTCCGTATTCCTGGATGTAGCTTGATACGAGCAGTTCCTTTCATCATGTCTTAATCTTCCGCAGATGTAACAAAGAATAGGAAGTCTCTCATACCTGAATTCTATCCACAGGGGCTCTTTACGTTTCTGCTTCAGTGGATACCTTGCCTTCAGAGATATGAACACCTCTAGTTGGACTCATACACGAATATAACCTTTCCTTCATGGGTAATTTTAGCTACTTGGGTGACCTCTCCCATGATCGCCCCAAACTTCTGAGCCATGGTTTCAGTTATTTGGTCCATTGGGCGACCATGCAACTGTACCTAGAAAATACAATGGCGTAGGGGAATCTCCTTCAAGCTAAGACCAGGCGTATAACGTTAACAAAGGATTAGGTTGTTCATGAAACTCCACCTCCATTGCAAAAACAACAAGGAATCTACCATCCACTTGATCCCCGGTTGTCCTTAAGCATCCATTAGCATTCTTTTCAGACCGTTATGGTTTATTTTCTTCCTAGTGAACACCATGCAGACTATAGCAAATCCTCTGGGGATATCAAGTAGAATCTCTTCCTTTCCATGATCTTCTTCCATAATGCCTTGAACTTCTTGTTCCATCCCTTCGATCGAAAGGAAAAAAAACACAAAGGGGTCAAAACAGGAAGAAGGTGACAAAAAAAACCTATCTCGCACGTACGCTTAATCGGCAAGAGAAAACCTTCACCAATTACACCCAATAATCAGGAATAGTCATGCGAAGAACCAGAGGGGGGACTTTTTGCATTCGGTTTGCCATTGAGTTATGATTTCTGAACGCAAAAATGATCTTTGGAACCACCCATTGTTTGGAATTTTCTTCTTTATTAGATTATATAAATCAGAGTCAATACAGCAATAAATGCTTAGTAGAAGAAGAAAAACCACCACAAAATACAAAAGTATTGAATTGACAAACATTGACTAATCCACAAACTTTAACCAACTTAGATTAAACAAATTTTTTTGATAAATAACTTAGATTAAACAATTCAACAAACTTCGTCACTTCTCTCCAGCGAAAAATAAAATAAAAATGGTTACAGAATAGCTTCCAAAGTGCAGATGTAATCCAATCTGTCTGTTTTTCTGCCCCACAGCACAAAAGAAAATGGACGAAGCAATTGGGTTGTCGTTTGAAGCAATTCACCCCATTTCTCTGGACTTTTCATCTGATAACCGACACTGTATTTGCCACGTGGCTAAGCTGCCATTACAAAGCCTACTTTGTTACTTCGTAAAACGTAATGAGTCCAAAATGCAGATGTTGCATTCCGATTTGTTGGGATTAATTGGCTTGTCATTTCAGCCCACTTCTCGAGAATTTCTTGCCACGTGGAGCATTCATCTAATAGCTGACAATCTTCTTGCCACGTGGGTAAAGCCGAAGATGAGCGCGTGCTGAATCATAACTGGGCACACTCCTGCCGAGTGAGCCTTGTGGTCCCCACATGTAGCCACGTGTAGACTAAAAGAGTCGCATCTTCTACGGCCCAATTTCTGATTATATCCGTAGTTAGGATTTAGGGAAACCGGATTTTTGAAGCAAAGAATATTGGAAAAATATGCAAATTATGTCTGATTTTAACTTTTAACCGTCGAAAAAGCTTCCACGTCATTCTTTGGTTCTTCTCCAGAGAGAAAAAAAAAGCACCACCGGCCCTTGGAGTTGGATCCCTCTTTCTCTCTCTACCCCAGCAGCCAGCAGGAGGCCGAGGTCGAGGTTCTCTCTCCTCAATTCAGTCGACTCGGGCCCTTTGTTTCTCTCTCTCTCTCTCTATTTCTCAAGGCCGGAGATTCATGTGGTAGGGTTTCGAATTTGATCAGACAAGTGCAGAAATGGAAGGAATCTACGGAGATTTTATGGAGTTCATGAAGAGACCGGTGGTTGTAGAAACATTAGTCGACATTTTGCTGTGTGCAGTCCCAATTTGGGTGGCGGTCATGATCGGCTTGGTAATTGGCTGGTCGTGGAGACCTCGATGGACTGGTCTCGTCTTCTTGGGCCTTCGTAGCAAGTTTCGTTTCATTTGGACTGCTCCGCCGGGGTTCGGAGCTCGTCGGCTTTGGCTCGCTTTTACCGCACTTTCTGCATTCTCTGTTGGTCGCAAGCTGTGGTCGAATTTCAAGGGGAAAGGAGAAGAATCGGCGGTTTCGGAATCGTCTCCGCTGGCACCGGCGCAGTCTGTGGAACGGAGCAGCAGCGGTGTCGAGTGAGTCTTTTTTATTATTTATCCTCTTTCGCTTACTGACGCTTTTGTCGTTGTTTTTTCCTTTGCATTTTATCTTTTTATTAGTAATTTTATTGTTATATTATTTAAGGTTCCATTTTGAGATATCCTGGAGCCGAAATTTCGGATTTTAAAAACGGCTGATTTCAATTTCTAGATATAATTAAGAACCCAAAAGTAGTTTCCTTCCGAGCTCGTAGATGTAAAATCGCTGATTTTCTGTATGTTTCATATTAACCCAATTGCTGATGACGAAGGTGAGTGCCTATTAAGTATTAAGTCCATTGGGAATAACTTGGAACACTTTTGATGTCCTTTCAAGCACTAACATTATAACTTCCTATAGGTACCTTGATTTTCAAAACATCGCAGGTGCCGATGATACATTTTTTTTTTCACTGATATTCTACAGAGACCAGATTTTTCTGACCTATTCTTAGATTCAATCATATCTGATCCCTAGTCTTGCATGCTTTTGACAAATGAACAAGACGGGATTTTTCTTCATTCTTTTTCAAATTCCACAAAACATTTGGTCTCCAAGAATTCCGACTTACTCCAATTTTCGTGAACATAGAAATTAAGTGATCCAGCAGTTAGACGATGCACTTTAAGGAGAGTGAGCTTCTTTCCTCAAGCGGGTAGTTGGTCTTCCAAGTGGCTTATTTTTGCCAAAATAAAACTTTGATTTTGGGGTCTCTTAGGTGTTTTCTTTCTTTCTTTCTGCATAACTTCCAATATGATTATTTAGAGAGATTATCCTACTGGAATTAATTACTAACTATAAATTTGTTGTATTAATTAAAAGTAAAGATGAAAAGGTAAGTACAGTGTACAGAGCTCAACACGACCACAACTCATGATAGAAGGAAAGCCAGGCTTTCTAAGAACCCATTGGATCCCCTATACAACTCTACTAAAAAAAAAAAAAAGAGACCCCTCAATTTGGAATTTGGTTGGTATTGGAATTACCAAATAAAGTTTGTCTCTTGTTACACCCTGTCTTGCTAGATTATCCACTATTGAGTTGGCTGATCTAAGAAGCCTAAAGGAATGGGGTATCACTGTTAGATTTCAAATATCTTGGTTTCTCCTCTCTTATCTGGTTTGATAGTCTCTAAGGTGTTCCTACTTTGATTCTGTCCCTTGTCCAACATATTGCCATCTGAAAATCCCTTAATAATCACCCTTGAGAAACACAAGGATACCGATAACCTAAAATCTATGTCAATAAAAGATGTTTGGTTTCCAGTAGGGGTGCAAGTGTAACTGAACATGTTGGATTGGGTTTATGACCAACTCCTGCCCAACCCAAGATTGAAGTAAGGCTTGGACCTTGAGTCAATCTGGGGCCTGGGTCTGGTCCAACCCAAGTCAAAGCCCAAGTTGTTTAGCCCAGGCCCAACCTGAACTAAACCAAACAAAATTCTGGCTGGACAGGTTTTGGCAGGTAAGTTGGTTGCGTTCTAAAGTCTTGCTCATGTTTTACACTTCTACCTTTCTTTTGTGTTTTATTGTAGAGATAATGCCAGATTGTCAAGAAAAACTTGGCACTTGGCCTCACTTCAAACTTCAAACATGACTTCTAGTTTTTGGCTAAGTTGCCTAACCAGGAAAAAGTAAAAGACTTGCCTCATGAGAAGGTAGTAGGTCCTTGCAAAAGGAGTGCCATTATTGGGGCCTTATGTGATTGTTGAGAGGCAAATGTAACTAAATTTTAGTGGAGCTAGTTGGTAAAGTAGATTGCTGATTCTTGATGTATCTTCCATCATTTTTTATAATTATCTTCCAGAAGAAGATACAAACATATATTCTTTTCTTCAAAATTGTCTGTCATTGTCAATTTCTGATTTTTTATAAGTTTTAGTTCTTCATGGTGAATATAACATTTTTTGGTTATTACCTTTTCTGCAGCCTTAGCAGCATGTCTTCAGATGTGGAGCAGGATATTGTTACTGAGAAGGATTTAGAGCACCTATTATATCTCCTAGAACGTAGGGCAGAGGATACAACAGCTTGGCAAAGTATGATGGAACGATCCACCACAAATATGGCATACCAAGCTTGGCGCCATGAGCCTGAGGTAGATATTGGATAAACCTCTCTCTAACTTTTGGATGCCGCAATCATTCACATGAGAATAAATGACTTACTAAAAATGTTACTCAACTCACTGTTGCAAATTCTGTATTTTTGGTTCACCATTGCTATTCATTATCTTAAATATTTATTGACATTTAATCATTTATTTGGATAAACCTCTCTCTAACTTTTGGATGCCGCAATCTTTGACATGAGAATAAATGGCTTACTAAAAATGTTACTCAACTCACTTTTGCAAATTCTGTATTTTTGGTTCACCATAGTTATTCATTATCTTAAAATATTTATTGACATTTAATCATTTAATTGGATAAACCTCTAACATGAGAATAAATGGCTTACTAAATATGTTACTCAACTCACTGTTGCAAATTCTGTATTTTTGGTTCACCATAGTTATTCCTTGTCTTAAAATATTTATTGGCATTTAATGATTTAATTGAAAACCTTTTTCATTCTAAATTTCCATCTTTTGCATCTCAAAATTAGCTTTACAGTCTACAAGCTGTCCCTCTTGTTTTTTATCAGAGTTTTATAGTTCTATGCACTAGCATTTGACATTGCTTCTTGTTTATCAGACAGGCCCTACAATTTACTGTAGCAAAACTGTTTTTGAGGATGCAACTCCTGAGCTGGTTAGAGATTTCTTCTGGGATGATGAATTTCGACCTAAATGGGATCCCATGCTTGCATATTGCAAGGTGTTGGAGGAATGCCCTCATAAAGGGACAATGATTGTCCACTGGGTAAAAAAGGTTTGTTAAATATTCTGATTTATTTCTTTATTTGTGGAATTGATGTCTTTCTTTATTTGTTCCTATATATCTTCTTTTTGATGAATGATTTGTTCCTATATATCTTGCCTCTACAATATTCTGATTTATTTCTTGACCTGGTTATCTGTGATTTGTAGTTTCCTTTTTTCTGTAGCGATAGAGAGTATATCATTGGCCGAAGGATATGGGAATCTGGAAAGACATATTATTGTGTAACAAAGGTAATGCACATCTTTCTTTGGCTACATTCTTCATTCTGGTCTGATCACGACTTCTTGTTTTCTTTGACTGCAAGTTCATGAATGTATTTCATGTTAATGCTTTTTTTTCTTCTTCCAAACACAACTCTTGGTGCTTGACATGTTAACTGAAAATTATTTTCACTTAGAGAAGTTTTTATTTTTATTTTTTTAATTTTTTATGAGGAACAGTAAAAGAAAAGTTATTGATGATAAAGTGGTCACTTCCTACCATCCAAAAAGATAGCAGGATACAACAGAGCAGCATGAAACCGACTCTTTTTTGTTTAAATTTCAACCAATTACAACTCAACCCCAGATCCTGGTTTATTCATAACAAAAGATCCTTGGAAACACCTGATCTAGCTAAAGAGTCTTGAAATATTTGTTACTCTGGGAATCCATCCAACAAGCAATTCAGGGTAGATGCGAAATCTCTTGCTTCACTCATCAAAAACCATAAACTTTAGGGTACATCCTCCATAGATAAAAGTCAGGTGATGATCACTTGGCAGTCTCCTTCCACCTGTAAATTAGCCCAGCCTTCTATTGAAGTTAATCCCTGCAATAAGGCCCAGCCATTCTGTATTTAGATAAATTCCTGTCCTAGCATGTCTGGAGAAGCTTAATAAATATTCCACTTTTAGTTCTTATTACCATGCTAGCATTAGATGTTCCTGCATTGCCTAGACAACAGCATCAGAATGCAGTTTTCTTTTGTCTTGATTTGGAACTTCCCATTCAACATGCTTTTGCTGTCTTTTAGCGGAATATCCTGCAACTGTTTTCCAGCATCATAATAAATCATTGGATTCCCCTTTGAAATCTTCACTCGACATAGTCCATTAAGCAATTCTCACCATAATAGTCTCCAATGAACATTTTTGTTCTTAGTTTAAAAAATTCTTGTCTTTCATTCACACCATAAACTCCAAAGTATCCCCCTGCCCCTCAAGGTGTGGCCGGTATCTTCAATCCTAACTTTTTGAGGCAACTAAAGAAAAGAGGGAAGATTCTGTGGAGAGTTACAAAGGCAGCAGTGGTTTGGGTGGTCTAGGAAGAGAGGAATGGAAGAATCTTCATTGGAAGTGTAGATCTTTGGAGGAGATATTGGAAAGCATTAAGATAAAGGTTGCACACTGCATAAAAACCTTGGTAAGCTTTCAAGTTTTCTCTGTTAATGATACCTTTAGAGCTTTGACAGAGGTGGCACAGTCCTCTAGAGAAAAAGAAAAGATAAGGGAGGAATGGAAATCTCCAGAAGGCAACAAAGTAAAGCTGAATTTTGATGGCAAGTCCTTTGGAAATCTGGGTATGGCAGGAATAGGTGTTGTGATAAGGAATTCTGAAAGCAGAATACTGGTTCTATATTCAAGATCTGTTGGAATGGCGAACTCATTGAAAGCTGAATTATTGGCTTTTCTGCAAGGTCTTCGATTAGCAAAACAATTGGGGTACTGACAGGTAGAGGTGAAAGAAGATTCAAAGCTAATTGTTTCATGGGATAGTGGTAGAAGTCAGACTCTGTGGACTTTTAGACATGCTTTTAGGGCAGTGGAAAGTATTACAAAGGACATAATTGCTGAATTTAAATGAGTGAGAAGAATTTTAAATGGGTTAGTTGATTCCATTGCTAAGCAAGGAGTTATGAGGCAGAATTTATTTTGGGCTGCTATGTAATACTGAATGTAGTACTTTGGGCTGGCAGTCCTTTCTCTTTGTATTAATTTTAATCCTCAATTATTATAATAAAATTTTCTCTTTGCTGATCAAAATAAATAAATAAACTCCAAGGTATTGCAGTTATAGTGTCCACAAGATTCTCTGCCTTTTTGTGAGACAAGAATCTAGTTGAGATGAAAACAAGTCCAGTGCATTTAATGATGGACTTTGTGCAACTACATAAAGGAAAAATCAATTCCATACCTAAGAAGCAAATTGGCAAGAGAAGAAAAGGTGATCAATGGTCTCCCTACTTTTGAGCAAAGAATGCACATATGAGGGGGGACAAACACCATGTCTTCTATTTCCTTTGGAGCCTTTCACATGTTTTTATTTTTTTGGAGCAAAGAGTAACTAAGATTATATTAAAAGAAAGAGGTACATGAGAAGATGTACATCAAGGAGCAAAACAAGGAAACAAAGATTACAAAGGCAGAGCACTGTCACTAAAATAAGAATTCTCTATGAGAATCAGATTTATCTAACCCATCTGCTAAAGCGTTCAGTTCCCTGGGGATCCAGCTCAGCTTAACTTGCATCAAGTCCATAATGTCTCTAGCTTCTGCCAAAAAATGGGCCAAGCTCCAAGGCTCGCTGTCTTTTTCCTTTAGCTGTCTTATCGTATTAGCAGAATCACCCTCAATAGCTAGAGAGGAAATACCTAACAATTTAGCACATGTGTTGATAATCTATAAAACTTTCTTCCACCAGAAAGATTTCACCTTAGAAGGACAGAGACCTTCCCAAATGGCTTTAAAATGCTTGATGCTAAAGGTTGGTTTAATAGAGGGTTTTGAAGAAGGAAGCACGGGAATAGGTATCTCTTAGATAAGGGACCAAATCCTACCCGCAGAACAAAGAATGCCTCCTTTAGATTTTCCAAGAGGTTAATAAAGAATGCCTCCTTATCAAGAGTACCCTTGCCAACCTCCCTACCTACTTCATGTCCATGTTTCCTATGCCATCCAAAATTGCAAAGAAGCTTGAGAAGATGCAGAGAGATTTTCTCTGGAGAGGGTGGGAAGAAGAGAAGAAGATGCACCTTGTGAATTGGGATCAAGTTTGTCTTCCTAAGGCAGAGGGTGGATTAGGTTTTAGAAGATTAAAGGTGTTTAATTCGGCTTTATTGAGTAAATGGTGTTGGAGATTTGTAGCAGAAAGATCTTCTTGGTGGAGGACCTTAATTGCAACAAAGTTTGGTGTGGATTGGGGAAATTGGAAATCTCAGGATTCATACACACATTGGGGTTGTTTGGTTTGGAAAGGGATTCTAAAATCTCTTCCTGTGATGTATGAGGGAGGGAGACTTAAAGTGGGAAGTGGAAATAAGCTGAAATTCTGGAAAGATCCCTGGTGCATGGACAGACCTTTAGCTGAGGCGTTTCCCCTTCTGTTCCAATGTAGTTAATCAAGAAATATCAGTGGCAGAGTCTTATGTGATTTCTAACAACTCAGTGATCTGGAACCCTCAGTTCAGAAGAAATTTATTTGATTGGGAAATAGAAGGTGTGATGCAACTTCTGCAGATTTTACAGGAGCAGACAATAGACATTGCAGGTGAAGATGAATGGAGTTGGTCCTGGAGTAAGGATGGCTGCTTCTCAGTCAAATCCCTTACTTTGAAGCTTAGTAGTACTGGTATTACTGAGTTCCCCTACCAGCAAGTATGGAAGTCCTGTGCTCCCTCGAAGTCTATATTCCTTGTTTGGACTATGGTGCTGAACAAATGTCTCTCAAGACTCAACCTGGACAGAAGGGGCATTCAGCTCCCTTCTCTGATGTGTGGGTTGTGTGCCTTGTTGCCTGTGTCCACAGACCATCTGTGCATACATTGTCCTATCTCCTCGAAAGTCTGGTACCATTTCATAGGAGCGGCTGGTCTTAATTGGGTTATGCCAAATTCAGTAAAAGATCTGCTGCTTTGCTGGAATCTCCAAGGTTTGAAGAAAAAAGGAAGTTTAATTTGGAGAACTATAAGAGCACGGAGGAGATAGTACAGCAGGCGGTCAGCAAGCTGATTTCTTGGGTGGCTGTTACACCTGATTTTAAAGAGCTAAGTGTTCCTGTATTAGTTATGTCTACTTCCATTTGGGATCTGTAACATGTCCTGAAATTTGAGCAGCTACTTGTGGCTTGCTCTTTTGTTGTACTGAGTTCTTTCTGATTCAATAAAGTTATTACTTTACCTTTCATTTTTTTTTTTTTGATTTTGGACTCTTTAAGGCCCCAATCCCAGTAAACATTTGTATTTGTCAAGGGATCCAACTCAGAAATGTGTTAGATAAAGCAAAAATTCTTGGATATAAGAGACATAAAAGTAGGGTCCATTACTTGGTGTAATGGTAAAATCTCGGGCTGGCAAGTGTGAGAATGCAGGTTCAAATCTGAGAGCAGCCACTTTGTGCAAAAAATGCCAAAGGTTAGGGCTGTATCCAGTCAACCCCTCCCAAGGCCCCAGATAGCTGGGACCAACATTGGGTAAAAGTAATGCACCCCACTGGAGATCTTAAATTTGCATCCTAGGTCTCCTGGTATATCATATATGATGTCCTGATGTGCTGTGAGAATGAAAGAAGAATTGCCAACAATTGTCTTCCAAGGGCAATGAAAAGTAGTAGGCCTAGTAGGACCCAAATTGCAACTATTTGAATGAAGACCATATTTTTCTCTTTATCACCGAATACCACAAAGAATTTATTCCAATTTGCAACTTCCACAACCATTTTCCCAATAACACTGTACATTTTTCCTTGATTCTCCTAAACTTAAGTCCTTCCTCCACTTTTTTTTAACTAACCATCTCTCAATTTACAAAATGGTCTTCCTTATTCTGCTCTGGTCCTGTAAAAAGTCCGTAATGATTTTTTCTATCCTCTTCACGACTCTCACAAGCACCCTGAATAGGGAAAAGAAGTAGATTGTGAGAGATTGGAAAAGGTGGATTTGATAAGAGTGATCTTACTCTCAAGTGTGATATAGTTTTTTTTCCCATGTTGCCAATTTTTTGGACATTCTCTCAATAACTAAATTCCAAGATGACTCTCTTGGATTTCACCCAACAGTAGGCCCAAATACCTAATTGGCCACAATTTTACCTCACGTCCCAGTATTCTTGCACACTCCTCTTGATCCATAGAAATCCCAACAAAACTATATTTTGTGAGGTTTACAGTTTCCTTCATAAAAAATCCAATTTTGGCTCTTTGGTCCCTGCATTGATACCTCCTCCATTATCCACCCTATACTTTAGTCTCTCCAAC